GTAGCTTTGACGCAGAAGCTTAACAGTGTAGCTTCACCTTCAACCTCAGCCTACCGTTAACGCACTGTATAAATCATCATGGATGTTTTCTACAATGATTTTAACATGTCTAAACCATTCACTTATAGTCATTCTTATTATCGCATTGATAGGATTTGCTTACTAATGCGGTCTCTTATTTTAATTTTTTACCAATTTGTGGCTAAATGGACATTGAATAAGTAAGTAGGCCACAGATATCAGCCGATAAGTGGAATCGCACGCAAAACTTACCCATGGCGGTTACTGGAATACACAATGTAGCGTCGTCTAGCATGTATAAGCAACTTACTTCTTCAAAATTCTTTGCACATGCACGTATGATTACAGTGCGCAAGTCCATGTTAAGGGATCATAGTTACTAATTCTTAACCTTAATGAAACGAACTGGTAAAATCCGCATCGCGAAGGCAAACAATGAAAAGTTCTGTTACCCATCAAAGCTACTGTCACTGTATGGGCCATCAATGTTGCATATTGTCGTAGCTAAGTAAAACGGAATGCCTGGAGCTTTTTTGCTTGGTAACGCCTGTATTCGTATTGTGTTTAAGTTGAGGTAGACCAGGGGACAACAGAGAAGCCACTCCTGGCATACTTTCATTGGAGTCGCGTCGGCTCTACATTCCTTCGATTAAGTTGGTTCATCGACGAAGTGGCCGGGGCCGGAGCGGAACAAATTGAAGTAACAGCACAACCGACTTCTGGTCACCCTTCTACTACGAAAAAGGCTACAAATGTGACCACGGGACAACTTAAACTTGATGGACTAGAGCCCAACACTGTATACGAAGTGATTTTAAAAGCAACTGGTGACGGGACCCCGATTTTGCATTACACAGGTTACATGAAAACATGGCCGACTGGTAAGCCTATTGCGCTTTATCCATTGCATTTTGTAGCATGCGTTTAGAGACATGTCAGTAGGATGGCTTAAAGTAGGGGGTATGCGTACATAGGTAACGGACCTTCACGGCCGATATTGGGGTCACGGAGACTTAAGCAAAGCCGTTTTGAAGATTGCGTCGTTAAAGCCAAATCAAATTAAGAAGCGTTGTATCAATACATTCATATTTCCTTCCGACAAATAACTTGTCATTACTAACAGCTCCTTCAAAGATACTGCCGCCCGAGGGAAGAGCAATATCAGCCACGAAAATTGAACTTCGTTGGTCAGAACCAACCGTCTTGAACGGGATCCTACAACCTTATAACTTGACTTGTTTGGATGCCGCATC